AATCTGTCTATCCACAGTCCCAGAGACTTCACAAACACTCCATAAAAAAATTGAGACAGACTTTCTTCTTTTAGGGCTCTTATTTTAGTCTATTCAAGATCATTTTTGTTCTTATTTCTAGCCAGCTCCGAGAGTAAACTGATGGGTAGAGAGTAGGATTAACCTCAGCTAGTAAAACTGCTGATATTTTTTTTTCCCTCTAGTTATTACATAGAAAACTACCAAGGCTGAGAAGTGACAGGCAGGAAAGTCTTACTGGAGTAAAGCTCCTAGTGGCTGTTTACATCTTTCCTGTCCACCTTCCTTTGAACAAAGTCATCTGGGATTATTACAAGCCTATCCTACACCTCAGTTTCCCTGGTGCTGTTGCAAGCCTTGTGGGAAATATGTAAACACATGGGCAGGTCAGGTTAGTAATTGTGTAGGCAAAGATAAAAGACCTTTAACACTAATCAGTTCTGGCAAGGCATTTCTGTCTTGCTTCTGAAAGGAGAATTTACATTTTCACAGTTCGTAATCACATGGGTAGAAGGGGTCGAGACCGCAGGTGGTTTTACTGCTCTGTATGTCTACGTGAAGATCCACATAGCACAGGTTTGTCTTCGTACGTGACTCTGGTACTGGGTGAGGATAAGGGGCGCAGTTGTGAAAGATAAAAGGCTATTCCTCGCTCAGCCTGAAGTTCCAGGGGGACTTTCTCAATTTATCTGTGTTACAGCTGTTTGCAGTGGTTGTTTGACTTCTTAATAGCATTAGGTGCTGATTCAGAGAGCAATTTTATGTTAAGGGACCCTAGCAGGAATTGCATTTCTAATGACATTCTCTGTGAGGAAACCTCTGTTGTGACTGTGACGAGGAAGTAGCAGTGATGGGTAGGTCATGGCTGAGTCTTGTGTTCATGTGACATGAATCTGGCCTCAGAGATAATGGGACAACTGATCCTAATGGCTTAATGCTGAGCTTTTTCCTCTCAGTGGTTTCAGCATGAGAGTCCTACCCTACTGTGAATATTCTAATACATATACTAAGGTATGGGGTTTCTTATTATCTGTGAATTTTATACTTTGATAATTACATGGCATCTGTATAGCTCTAATTTGGACAAGTTCTGAAGGGCACTTCATTTCCCCAGACTCACAGATCACACCACAAATGGATCGGGCTTGAAAGTGTCATTTCCACAAACAGATCTCTTTCCATTGTCAGGGTCTAGGGTCACTGGTAGTTTTGTCTCTTAACTCTCATAAAATGTCCTCTTGGTATTTGATCATGGGCTTGTTGGGTGGTGGTAGCATCAGCTATGTGATGCAGAGAGTATTTTTTTGTTTCCATGCTTCTGTGTCAGGTAGAATGATGAGAGATGCACATAGAGCACGTTTCATTTGAGGTTCAGAAATGCCTTCACATGATAATTCTTGGCATAGTATATGTTTAGGCAGTATTGCTGCAGAAAATACTGTAGGATTCCCATTTTTGGATTGTTTTCATTCTGCTTGTATAGTTTCATTTAATGAAAATACAGACCTAGGTATACCTTTTCTCTTATACTTCTGCCATCCACCTGTAAAACATTGATAGGGTATCAGGAAAATCTAACATCTTTACACTGGTATTCCTAAGAGGGTTTACATTTCTGCAGGTCATGTTCCTGCACAGGATTTTCTAGCTGTCAACCCTACATGAGTTGGTTCTAGCTTTGCAGATAACACAGGTAGGAACAAGCCCTGCGAAGCTTCTTTGACAGAGGGGAAGTAAACTGTAAGTACAGTGATACACAGACAGCTATTTCTACCCTCTTTCTGAACAGAAAAGAAAACTGGCTGTGGTATTGGTTAGGAGCAGCATTCAGGTTGGTGATTACACATCTTTGTAGTTCGTAAGAGAGTATGATGTTAAGTTAAATAAGATATAATCTTACTAAGACGATATTAAATAATAGCACAAGACCGAAATAAATGGAAATTAATTAGTAGAATAAACAGTAAACATCCTAAAGTGTAAACCTACATGTTTAAAAAATGCTTGTAAATTACATACATAGAGAAGGTAAAATAAGACTAAGGGCTTAAGAGTTTGATTGTTTAACTCTTTCAGTGAAGGATGTTTCTGGACACCTTACCATCTATTGCTACCATCATTAGCTAAAGACAGGGGACTAAAGCCTTGTACAGATAATCTGTTTTGACTTTAACAAGACAGAAATTCCATTTCTTCATTTATACTAAAAGAAATCCACAATATTTCATATCGTTTCAGTGCTCATAGGTGCAAATTAATCTATTAAAAATTAGAATTTTATTTGGGCCTAATGTGTTTTGACACCAACAGAATTCTCTCATCAAATTCTCTGGGTTCTTGTGTCCTCATTGGATTCTGCCCACAAAGATGTCTCCAGGTTTGGACCTTTCTTTTCTTCCCCCCCCCCTTATTCTGAGGTATTGAGAATTTTGACCAAATAAGATATTGGACATTATCGCAAATCTATGATGTTTTAGAAGTATTTCTGTTCATTCTAAAAAATTGAGATATTTTCTAAACTAAGTAGAAAGGAAGTATAAACAGCACCTTGAGACTTCTTGTTCACGGAGGAGCTCTTTTGGAGTGAAGGATGTAAGACTGAAGAAAGGTGCTTAATGTCATGGAAGGTGGAGGAAGAGATTGGGAGCTGCAGGAGAGAAGTATCTGGGGGAAGCACAAGGGTGCCTGTCTGTTCACACATGACTGCAGTCCTGGCTTCGAGGGCAGCACTTTCAGGAACTGCAAAGAACCAGTGTAATTTTAGACAAGTGAGGAATGACTATGTGGTATATTTAAGGGCAACCTGAAGCCACCCTTACAATTAGATTTGCTATCTTCAAGAGCAGCAAAGCTGGACGTGTGATTATGGGCCAGAGGCTTCTCCACAAAGCACACAGAGCCCTGCATGCCTGCACACGCTGTTCAGCCCAGTGTAGCATGGGCATGGTACGCTCTCAGTGGATTTCTGAGGCGTGTCCAGACAGGTTGTTTGACACCTACCTGCAGACATCTCAGCAGACTGGCTGCTAGACCCCCAGATGAAAGGGAGGGACATGAGACTGGGAGGTTTCTGTAGTCCACTTGCTTCCCCGAGTACTTGTTATGAGCAGTTTGACACTGCCTTGAAGCCCTTTCTGGTTACTGTTCAGTGTTAGAGATGTGAAGCAGGATTTATATGAATTCCCAATTTATCTCAATTTTACGGGACCACCTTTGTGCTTGCTTTTCCTCTACTACACAGCGTCTTTTCATTGTGTTGTATTTTTCTGGTTGGGTTTCTTCAGATGGTAATTTTTGTGCTAAGTCATGGTGCCTCTGGTTTCATGGTGTGTTTGTTGTGTGACTCACGATCATTTGACCTATGAGATTTACTTGTCCTTTATCTACAGGCTTTAATTTGATGTCAAAAAACATTATACTTTCAAAGACTTATAGTTCTGATGTTCAACGGCCAGAAGTATTGATTTGCAATTGGCAGGAGGGCGTGTTTGCCTTAACTAGCAGGGCTTTTAAAAAATAATTCCATTTGCTTTATGCCAAAGAGTCCCCATGTCCCCTTTCAAACCACCTTCATGTTGACTGCAACAAAGCCTACCACATTAAAAATGAAATAGTGTTTATGCCAAATGTTCTCTCACATATTTTCAAACCTTTTAGCAGTGTTTGCACTGAAATTTTTCACCTAAAAGCCACAGCAGTTCAGAGCTCCACTTGATACTTTTTGTAAAGACATCCACTTTCTGTCAAGGAAAGGCTACATTCTGGCCTGGTGACCACGAATGGTGGCTTACCCATAGGCATTGTCCTCCTGGTATGTATGGGGATAGGTATGTGTGAGCTTCTTATGCTGTGAAAGGTGATAAAGTCTGGCCCATGACACTGAGTAATCTGGCTATTTTAATCACCACCTGTGACTGTCTGAATTATCATCTGTATTATGGGATAATATGATCTCTTCAGTATTCAGCAATGACTTTTTAAAAATTACCATATATATTATACAGAGCCAATATATTAAGAGATACCTTAAGGGTAATTATCAAGTGTGTAATTTCATCTGTAGGTTCTTCTAATGATGGTTAATGTCATAAATGCCTTTTAATGAAATTATAGTCTTGTAACCCTGCCTATCCTTTGTGTGTGGTATAATTAATAAGACTAAGCTTTGGTGTTCATCTCAGTGTCACAAAGCATCATGTAAACTTCCATACTTAGGGTAGATGGTTAGCCTCTCATCAGAGTAAGAATAAGGTTAAGGCCAGGCAGCGAGTATATGTTAACTTATATTTAAAGGCAGCTGAATCAGCTTGTTAACAAAAGTACTTCTAACAAAATATATGCTCATTAAAGAAAAAAAAAAAGCCATTGATCTAGTGTCTTATTATAATACTACATGCAAAATTTTAAAGGAGTGAAAAGGCAAGTGGGTTGCAGCACTTGGAATAAAGAATTGTTTTCCTTCTGATTCACTGAGGGTAGTGAAAATTTATGTCCACCTTAAAAGCATTTGAAGATGGTTAAGAAGCTTCATCTTGAATTGAAGACATTTGCCTGGAATGTAGAAGAGCTGGAATTGTTTCCCAGTCTGGCCTAATTTCTGTGGGATTCTGCCTAAATTGATCATTTTTTATGGTCTTCAGATTTTCTGTCTGAAAAATAAGGGCTGTAATAGTTCTTTTCTTTGTCTCACATTTCCAGATTCTAAATTTGCTGGAGCAAAGGAGATATCTATGTGGTTTTTTGTTTCCTTTGGCAATTACCACAGAATCTTACAGAATTATTCACATTGGAAGGAATCTAAGATCATCTAATCCCACCTCCTGCTCAGAGCAAAAGCAGCATTGAACTTCTGCCCTCTAGGCCATTTTCTTATTGCAAATACCAATAAAGGAAACAGAAATTTTATATAGTATCAGTGAAAAGTAGTTCTAAAAAATCATGTAAGACTCATTAAGATTATTTTACTCTTCTTTGTCCATCAGGGAATGATGTACCTGGAAGAGAGAAGACTTGTCCACCGTGACTTGGCGGCCCGTAATGTCTTGGTGAAATCACCAAACCATGTGAAGATCACTGACTTTGGCTTGGCTAGACTTTTGGAAGGAGATGAAAAGGAGTATAATGCTGATGGAGGGAAGGTGAGTTCTGAACACGTCTGGAAGTAAACATATCACACTGTGACAAACCTCCTGAAGTAACCCTTTAGGGCAGTGTATTCCTATGGGACTATTATCTGTGTAACAAAGTCTGTCAGTGACTTAGCAAAACCCTGTCTTCTAGAACTGTGTTGTGACAGCACACATAAAAGCTGCTCATTTCTTGCTCAGTGAGCTTCTCCAGGTGCTGAAATTTAATTGTCTGAACAGTTTTCACACTCTGAGTTAGGTTTTGTTCGTATGTTCCATTTTGTGTCTTGTTTTGAAGACTTCTGAAGTCAGTTCAATGACTGACAGTTGTTCTAGGGCATTCCTGCCAAGTCCTTTTCTCTAGTCAGTATGAACCTCAATAATTTGCAGTCCCGTTTTCTCAGACAAGTAATTTTCCAGAAAACAAAAAAGGAAGGACACAGAACATGTTTGTATTTGTAGAATATAAGAGTTTACATATGCTCAGCAAAGAGCTACCTCTTCTGTCACATTGGTAGAGCCTGCATACACTGTTTCTTGCATGCAACTCCCCAATACCATGCTTAATACCAGGGCAGTAAAAAGCTAGCTTGAGGATAATTTTGAAACCAGACATTTTCCCATATTACTTTTCAGCATATCGCACAGCATCCATATAGTGCCTAACCTCATTTCTAATGCCTTCAGATTAGCGCATTATAAATTTCAAAACGCTGTAGATAGAGGCTCTAAGTACATACCACTGCTGGATGCCAAACATCTTGAAATTCCACATTTCAACCTGTCACAAAATCCCAAGGGATTCTGCATCTCCTGTCATTCCTTTCCCTGAACATTCAGTTTGCTTTCTGTCTAGTTGCTATCTGTGCTTTTCTGTGCTCACTTGTGCCCTTGTCTGGGACAAACAGCTGTTGCCAGTGTGTGCTTTTCTCCTGGATGGGCTGCTGCCTTATTTGTGCGGCTGCTGCCCTTGGCAGCTGTTGCACGGATTACATCAGCATTTCAGTCAATGAGGTGAAGAGCTTGAAAAGAGTTGCCATTGTTTTCCTGTTTCCCCAGTGAAGAGACCTCCTGGCAGGGAAGGTGGAGTTTTGGCAGTTTTACCTGATTCCTTCAGTTCTCTAATCCCCTTTTCAGTAACCCCTCTGCCTCTTCCCTTCATCAGGCAGTGAATGACAGAAAATGAGCTGGTCCTTGCAAACCAGCTGTTCCCTGGCAGCTGTTAGAGGGTGTCTTGGACTTGTGAAGCCAATCACACTGTTGGGAGTTCTGGAGCGGGATTTACACATCACATGTGTCACTTCCCAGTTCCAGAGAAGCATCCTGTGAAATCCAGAAGACATTTGCAGCTTAAAGTTGTACTGAGAACATGCTAAGACAGATTCAGACTGGACAAAAGAAAAAACTTTGTCACCATGAGGACAATAAGGCAGTTGATCAGGTTGCCTAGGGAGGTGGTGCAGTTTCCATCCTTGGAGATTTTCAAGCCCAGACTGGATAAAACCCTGAGTACCATGCTGTGATCTCATAGCTGAACCTGCTTTCAGCCTGAGGTTGGACTAGAGACCTCCTGAGGTTGCTTCCAATCTGACTTATCCCATGATGAGCAATGCAGCTTTGCTACTTCAGCAACTGTTCAGGTTTGGAATGACCCAGTCATATTTAATGGAAATGAAAGCGATACTCTTCTGCATTTAGTGGAGGAGGATGAACTGTCTTTACAAGTGCTAAGCCAATCTTTATTAGAGAGTTCTATTTTTGCCATAACTGTATAGGTTATGTTCATTAGTCAACTTCATGGAAGGTATTTTCATAAGGGTTTCAATGAAGACACATCCTCTGCTTTTACACCCACCATCTGTTCAGATTTTGCATGCGGTTACGTGTATCTCTGGTTTATTCCAGTATATCTGCCATAGTTCCAAATTAGAGGCAGCCCATACAAATCCATGCCAGGTAAAAATCTCTTTTTAATGTCTGTCCATTAGAAATTAATGGACTGCAAGACTGCCTCACAGGCCCAGCTCAGGAATAGGAAACACTGTGACTCTCATTTTAACACAAACTCAAGAGGGAAAACCCTTATGCCAAACCTAGGTTTGTGTCTGCCTACACAGCTTTCTCTGTCAGAAGAGATGAGCTCTCCACAGGGGTGATTCAGACCCAAAGCCAAACTTGGGACTTTTGACTTGCTTTTAGGAGCAACTTTTCTCACTGCAGTAATGATACAGAGAACCAGGAAAGCTAAGTTCCTAACAAATATTAGATTAAGCACTGTAAATTCTCCCCATTGCTGTTTACTCTGATGATGATGATGATGTGTACTGTGAAGTATTATGGACACTGCATTATTAACTAGCCTCATTACAGAGTAATTGAGATAGCAGTGTCTGGTTTTGCAAACTGTTGAAGCAAAAGAGCTTCTGTATTCCACTTTCTCTGCTGTATTTCCGATCTAGGGGGATTGGATGTAATTTTTGTGTTGGTCCCATCTTTACATGGGTATGATGAAAAAATGAGTTGTTCCACTACATCTGAATCAGTAAAATTTGGGTGGTATGAGAAGTTCTGCAGATAACTGGTTCGTATTGCTCGCCTTCATATGTTTTATGGGGCAAAGCCTCATTCTAGAGGTCAGGAACAACCTTGTCCTCTGGTGGGTAGTGCTGCTTTTTTTAGGCTTGCAGCTGAAAAAGGAAACAGGGAGGAAGCTGATGTCTGCATACAGGATCTATCTGTATTGTTTTAATACTATATTTCTAAAGTTACATTTCTTTTGTGTTTCCCTAGATGCCAATTAAGTGGATGGCTCTGGAGTGCATACACTACAGGAAATTTACCCATCAGAGTGATGTTTGGAGCTATGGTAAATCTTCATGTGATTAGTTTAAAAATTTGTTTCTTGTAAAGCATTAAACCAAGTTGAGTTACTATGTTAAAGATACCCTCTTCTCCTAGAGGAGTTAATTCCAGTGGGTTTTGCTCTTTCCTTTTTTTTTTTTATTTTATTTTTTTGTTTTCTTTTTGTTTTCTTTTTCTTAGTTTGGATTTATTGGGGGTTTTTTAATGTGTAACTCTGAACAGCAACTGTTATTTGGCTCCTGTGTTACTTCCCTGCTCACTAAAATACATTATCATGATGTCCCTCCTAGGATGACTGCCGTAAGGTCTGGGCTGGTAACAGTTTGGCTGATTATTATGACAGAAGAAGGCCTCTTTCAGCTCAGCCACAGATTCATAAAAATACAGCTGCAGGTCATAATTTTCAGCAGTCCTTTGAAAAATCTCAACTCTAAAAGCCATGAATGTCAAAAAACATTTTCAGGCTTATGGGACTTTCTGTACCTACAGTCAGATAAAAGGGAATTTGTCATAATACAGAACAAATACAGCAAGAGAAAAAGGAGAAAGAGACGAGCTCTCCATCCTAACTAAAACAAGCATCCATTTAATTTCACAGATAACTTGTGAATTAGTTAGACAGGTCAGCTCATGTGGACTTCACACACACCAAAAAAAAAAAAGTCACATTTGAGAAATGAGATGTTCCTTTACTGTTGTTAATTCTGTTATCCAGATGAGCTGTTGTGCCACATCTGCTGAGCAGTCTCCCTGTTCATCTAGTATAGCTGTTATAATAAAATCATGTATACCTTTGTAAGTGGAATTTTTCAGCAGTATCTAGGGCCATGGACTCCTACTTACATTTCCTTTTGCCATATCGTTTCGAAACAGAAAGGTGTATAATTCTATTCATTACTCACTTTTACCTGTGGGTAGCAGCAAAAGACGCTGTTTGCTGTGACTGGTTAGCTGCCCTCTTCTATTCGGCTGAGAAAAACATACAAAAGTTAAATCAGTCATGTAAAGCTGCTCTTTCTCCTCAAATTCTGTATGCCCCATATCATTTAGGGAAAAAATAAGCCTCCTTTTATGAAATTCATTTTAAATACAGGAAACCCAGAATATCTGTAATCAGAAAGGACAAGACCAAAAACAATTGGCAAGTTATAGTTATTGAACATTAGCAAAGGAGGTGAATGAGGGTGAAATAAATATGTTTTACACATATGGCAATTTTGTCCATCATTTTTCACATTAGCATGACAGCTGGCAAAATATGGTTACTGATCTGGAGGCATGTTTAAAATGACCTTTACAATAAAAATAAAGGTTAAACTGGTGCGATAGCAGCATTTTCAGTATTTAAGATTTTGTTGTGGGATGAATTCTGTTACTTACAATACCAATGCCAAAACAAATCCTATGGTTATTCAAAAAGAGAATCTTGGTTTTGAAGCACAGCACTATCATAACTCAAATCAATAAGGTGATTTAAAGAAAAAAGCAATGCAAGTGTCTGTGAATGACTTCCAAGGCAAAGACAATGACATAATGTTACTCAGTGCTGTACCTTTGTGGGAAATTGATGCTGTAAGTTAGGGAACATCTGCGATTTTTCCCCTTAAAATAATAGAGTACATCAGCCATTCATTTTCCCTTTTGATATGATAAAAGAGCACGATGCATTCTTCTGTTATTGCATCCATTTACTTTACTACCATTTATTTGTCTTAGACCTTTCTCTTGTGCCTCAGATCTATCATGCTGCTTCTTAAACCAATAAAAATGAGAGAAGTTGCTTTTGAAGATTAACCCAAAGTGCTGTTTCACCATTTTCTGGAGCTTTTTAAATGGCATTCCAAACTTTGTTTTTACAGTGGTTTTACAGTCACTTGTAATGAAGAAGAGATTGCAATCCAGAACTGGGCGAGTACTGCACTATAAGAAATGGTGAAGGAATCTGGGCAGTATGACCTCAAATATTAACACTTTTGTTCTGCCTAGGAGTCACTATCTGGGAGCTTATGACCTTTGGTGGGAAGCCATACGATGGAATCCCAACTCGAGAGATCCCCGACCTCTTGGAGAAGGGAGAACGTTTGCCCCAACCTCCGATCTGCACTATTGATGTTTATATGGTGATGGTGAAGTGTAAGTCATTGTCTCTTCTAATATCCCTGTGCTCAGTGCAAGAGGGACACTGTTTTAAAACATTTGCATCTATGGTCTGACAGTGCTGGGTAATAGGGTAGATGGCTTCAAAAAAAAAGCTTCCCAAGTTACTGTAAATTCCATTTAAATACTGTATGCACATTTTTTGCAATTGCAAAAGATACAAATTTAGCCATGAAGGGCTGAGTTAGCTCAGCTTCCTATTACTGTCAGATGGTATCTCATATTCTTGCTGTGAAGTCAAAATTGTATGATTGTTATTGTAAACCCTTGTCATTTCCATGACAATTGATTTTGATGTTAAAAAAGATAGTATTAAACGTAATTACAGTACATGGATACCCAGCCAGTGAAGGTTGTGAGGAAAAATGCTGGTTCCAAATATGGAGGAAAAAAGCATGAATGTTTTATTGTTAGTAATAAGAATGGTGATTGCAATAGTAATAATAAAAAGTAAAATTAAATTAATAGAAGAAAGGCTACAGAGAGGATAATGTTTTATCATTCTTAGTCCAGTACAATAATTTAAGAATATTTTTACTTAAGCAAAAAAGGAAAATAGTCTGAACATGGTTCCTTCCTACCCTTTTATCTCCAAGATACCCACACTAGTGACAGTATCCTCCAAGGCTATGCTTCTAATTTAAAAAGAATTAGGAACATCTCTCTGGTGTTTCTGACTTAATTTAAGTGAGATTAGCAAACACACATCCCATCCATCTTAGATAGTACTTTCCTTTGTGCTCTGTACACAAAAACACTGAAAGAGAATAAAACTAGAAGAGGTAAATAATGTGTCTTCTGAAAACAGTTGTACTGTTCATGCAGGTATGGAAATTGTCTGAACAGTGCAAGGGGTTTGTGTTGGTTGAGTACAAAAATGTTCCATCTGGTAGGATTTCTAATAAGTATGAGGTGAATCTCGGTGGACAAAAGGAAGTCTTAGTAGATGGGGCATTCTGGAAGATGGAAAGTTACAGCTAAATGTACAGACTTAGTTGTGTAATGTTTATGTGAAAATCTGTATAAGCTATAGCAGCTTTGTTTTTCCTGTGTTGGTCACTTCTTCAGTTAAATGGCATGAAAGAGATAAGGCCTGCTTGGTTTAGCCTTCCTGGCAAATGAGAACACTTTCTTGGGAAGCTGCTGATAGGATCTTCCATTAGTAAAAGCTGACACTGAGATAAACTAGATGCTGGTGGTGACTGCCCATACTACTTGTTTGTTTTACAGAAAGCATTAGCAAGGATTGAGAGCTGTTGTTTCTAAGGAATGTTTCTTGGAGAGTGAAGGACAAAAGAATCACCCTTACTAAATTAAAATAGCATCGAATGAGATCTGTGTTAGTGATGCAGACATGTGAATGCAGACTTAGCTGAAATGCAGATGTGAGATCAGTCATCCTGTAGGATCTGTTGAACAGTTCTTTTTAATCTAAGTCACTAGAACCATAGGTCACTTAAAGTAAAATTGCATTTAGTAGTAACTTTGTAATAAACCTACTAGACTCAGATGAGATCATTCGTTATATTAGAGGCTGGACACATCCATAATAAGACAGTCAGAGCTGACATCTAAACAGGCAAGATAGATGCAGAAAATTGCAAGATATTGTTGCTGTCTCTGTTTGGGGGATGGGGAACAGGAGCTCAGAGCAAGTTAAGAAGAAATTCATGCAGTGTGACCAGATGTTTTCCATTTTAGGTGCATCATGGACTTCTAGCTTTCCATTCTTCTGGGCTCTTTACTGCAACTTTTCTTTAGTCCAGAGCTATCAAGGACTTCAAACCTCTTCATTTTTAAAAACTGCATGATTTCTTCCCTTGACAATTAATTTTTTTTCTTCTCATCTTTCATCTGTCCTCAGGCTGGATGATTGATGCTGACAGTCGGCCAAAATTCAAGGAGCTGGCTGCTGAATTCTCTAGAATGGCTCGAGACCCTCAGAGGTACCTAGTAATTCAGGTAAGCAAGACTGCAACATCAAGGAAGAAAAAAAAAAATCTGTCTGCCAAATTTAACTGTTGAGAGGGTTGCCTTTAAAACTCTTTAAGTTCAAGGTGCTCTTAAACCTAAAGTAAACAGTGACCACACTACTATACAAGAATGAAGTAGAATGGCCAGTGTCAGTATCTCAAAAATAGTAATAATAAAATAACCTGAAATTTGCTTCCTAAGTTTGTATTTATGAGCACAAACACAAGATCTGGCTTTGCAAGCTGCTCACTACTTTGCATTGTCCCATGAAACTGGGGACAAGATTTGTCCATCAGTGGACCTACTGTAGACCAAGGACTTGCTTGGTTCTGCAGTTGCTTAGGCTGAATCTTGGGTGATTATCTTGAAGAGACTCTTCCTGCACAGCTGAAATCATAAGAAAGTTTCTTTTCATAGCCTAAACGTAAACGTTTCTCAGAAGACAGGGAGTTGTGCCACATTGATACCTCTCATGCTAGAGAGGAGCTTTCCCCTGTGTCCTCTTTAGGCTGTGTAGGCTCTGTGGTGCTTCACAGTCCCTGTGATAGGCCCGCACCAGAATGATTCATCACATGAAACTACACAGTGGCAGCAGGACAATACCAATATAGCCATACCTGTTGACTACATCTAGCTGAAGCTGTGTACTCCCTGAGTACAGGGAAATGTGAAATTTTTTGTCCTTTCACTCCTGCATTCTGCAGAAGCCTAGAGTTGTGTATGTGTTTATTACAACTCAAACTCGAGCCACAGGAAGTGAGTCCAATTATTTGGTAAGGTCCTTAGATGTTCCCAATGTGTAAGCAGTTCAAATGAAAAATTAAAAGAAGTAAGGTGATGTTGACACAACAAAGCATGGAATTAGTTTGATCCAGTTAATGATACTCTCTTGCTACATCTCATGCTGTATCTGCTCCACGTTATGGAATACAGGGCAAAGGTATATCCAGCTGGTCCTTAGCTTCACACTGATGTAAGGATTCCGAGCTGAAGAACCTCCAGAAGTAGATTCACAGCAACTTTATGTCTCCTCATTGCTTCTGGGTCTAGTGCTAATCTCACCGTATGGTGTTTCGTTTCACTGTGTAGACATGCTGGCCTACTCATGGTGTATTATCACACAGTGTAAATATACACTACTCTCATTCAACTTGAGAAGTGGTAAAATATATTTGAAAAGTAAAATACTAGTCAAGAGGATCTGTGGTGCTGAAAGTGGAATTGCTCTTGCAGGATTCCCCCCTGCGTTAAATTGTTGGTTCGGCTTTCAGATTGGAAAAATCAGTCTGATTAAATCACTTCATTAGATAGGACACGTTTCCCTATTCCAAATGCCTCTTCTCTCCCTTCCTCTCTGCTGCCCTTCCCTCCCCTCTTGGATAGTCTGGTAGGTATTTCATCCTGTGAGGCTTCATCTGTAATGATCCTTGCAGACAATACAGGCCATGCAGTTCTTGAGGAGCAACCAGGGTAACTCCACTGCTCTGGTATCTCTTCATTCGGACGCCCCATTCCCCACAGGTGCAATCAAGTATGACAAACTTGCTGTTGAGCTTTTAAAACAGTCTGTATGTACCCTGTAGCCAGCCATCATTCCCTGTTGGATTCCACACAGGACATAATAACTCTTGCAGAGTAGGAGGCCATTCTTTAGGCACGCAGTTAAGTTTAGCATCATTTCTATTGGCTGTTAGAGTCTGGGGCATGGGCTGCCTTTTGTGATGCTTTGTGACACCAAGAAAAGCACAGCCTTGATTTTCTCTTTCCAGCTTGTAGATGCTGTTTCAATAAAAATACATATCATTGTTGTTGCTGTTGCTCCCTGGTTTGATTTTTATTGCTTTCAGCTCTGTTATATTTTGCAGAATTTTCTATGTGGATGAGAGGGAAATTTAGCTTCTATGTCCCTAAAAATACAAATGAAACTAAAGCAAACACCCAGACACAGCAGTTTCCATGTTATTTCCCCCTCCACGTGAGCCTAAATAGCTGAGATATTTCACAAAATATATCAGACCTTTACAGAACTCAGGTCAGAAACTGAGCTTGTATGGGAAAGAGAAGAAAGAATAAAAGCTCGATCACAAGAGCACAAAAAAATTATTTTTCTTGATTTATGAAGTTATTCACTTTCTGTCATCATATTCTCAGTTAAAAAAAAAAATCAAAACAAATTATGTGGATGTGGTGCTTTAGAACAAACAAAACAGCATGTGTGGTCCCTGCAGCCTGGCTGCCAGGGCATGAAGAAGGCTGAAGTTCCCTGTTTGGGAAATTAATCGATCTTTTGACCATTTTTCTCTCTCAATACAATCTACTTAGGGAGATGATCGTATGAAGCTCCCAAGTCCAAATGACAGCAAGTTTTTCCAAAACCTTCTTGATGAGGAAGACCTGGAAGATATGATGGATGCTGAAGAGTATCTTGTTCCTCAAGCCTTCAACATCCCTCCTCCCATCTACACCTCCAGGACAAGAATTGATTCCAACAGGGTAAGAGCAAGCTCTGATAGAAAGTACTGATTCTTCTAAAAGCACAGGTGGAGATTTAAGTACACTAATCAAACACAGGCCAGAGTTGCCTCGGGAATTACAAGCTCCCATTGCAAAGAGAATGACTGTAAAAATGTTGTCACTGGGTTCCCTGTTCATTGTGCCTCAATGAATTCTAAATTAATAGCTCAGCCTTGAGTGAACAAAGGCTTGACTTGAACTGCCTGTCCTGAAAGCACAGCTGAGGCTTGTGAAGTCAAGCAGTGTTGTTTCTCAGTTGTATACCATCCTGGCCAGGAAGTGCATAGCCCTGATTCTCCCATCCCTGCAATCCTGTTGTCTTGACAGGGTTGGCACTGATGTAACTGAGGGCAGCTGGAATATATAGATAATGCTGCTTTTGTGTCTGGAGCCAGATTTCAGACCCAGCCCCTTTTCCTGTTTGTATGTGATGCTTTCATGGCTCTCTTTCACAAGCATGTGGTTTTGCTGAGCACATCGTAGATTTTAGCATGTTGATCTTTGTAACATCCCTGTCAGGGGAGGAAATGCTGTTTATTTTACAGGGGGAGCCGAGGCACAGAGAGTGTTCAGGTGGAATTCAGCTCACATAATTCTAACCACCAAAAGGATAGGGATATATCTAGACTTCATTCATGTCGTTGGAGAAGAGTGCATGCATCAAGCCCATGATTACTGCTGCTTGCCTTGGATATTTACAGTGGGATGTTACTTTCTGGAGGTATCTTTCTCTATCCACTGGCTACTGACAGCTCCAGAGCAGTCTCAGACCTGGTTCGTGACCTCTAGTGAATTGGATCCTGTCCTAAATGCCTCAGGCTCAGTGCCACAGGAGCCCTGCTGCAGGTGGGGACCTGAGTTTAGGTTTCTGGAATTCCTTGTCACTCCTGAGCTCCCTGCCTGTGGCTCTGACCTCTGCCTGTTCCTCTGCTTGGCTCCATCCTTTTAACAGTTCAGGCGCCACCCCTACTCACAAAACTAAGAGATGGTGAAATGCATTACTAATGTGAGGGGCTTTGCAAAAGCATCAGAGTATTTAGTAATTAGGGACTTGTTTGTTTTTCTCTCCCTGCTCATTTTCATGGAAGTCACATTTTAAATGCTGTGAAGTGTCATTGAAATGTTAGTGTTTATTCCTTGTGCTTCAGAAACCTTTTGGACATTTGTCCTTAGCCAAGGTAGTTCCAAATTCATACCCTGGACTGAACTGATTACATCATGCAAGGCAGGGAAGAGGTAAGCAGAGGAGCTAAGAGAATATAAACCAGGTCAGTATTCATGCTCTGACCATACACTGGATGAGATTCTTTCACCTCTCCTGAGTAAATCAGTGCTTTTCTGGAGTAAGGAAGACAAAATTTGATTATAAATAATATCCAGTCAATTCATAAGGAAATTGCTACTGTTTCTAAAGGCAGGGAGACTTAGAGAAGTCTTTGGAAGAGGCTGGGTTGTAATCCCACTGGCTAAGCTGGATTCACGTAGAATTTCTCCTGCATCACTGAAAGGCAATGAAGGAAGCTGATGCATGATTTAGCAATAAGCAAGAAACTTCCTCTTTATGGCAACAAGAGTTAATTTCTAGTGTTGATGCTGATCTGAAATAAGTCAAGTTTACTCCTAGCTGTCTCTAGAGAGGTTCTGTTTCCTGAGAAAAGGAACAATTGACAGTAGCTACCTTTGAAAGGTGCTCACTGTCACACTGATGGAAATTACTGTAGGTTAGTTTTACACAGTGGAGTACTACCATTTACACCAACACAGGATTGAGAGATCAGAGTCAGACCCATAAGGTTTGCTGTATTCATCTCTGTCATATTTGTTGGAAACACTGGGGCATTTAAAGAAAAAAGGACTAGTAGGAAAATGTACTTGATTTTTCAGCAGTTCCTTTTGCCCTTTTTCTTTAGTGTCAGCCAAGCAGAGGAGTCCACTGTAGCTGAGAGAATTAATTCCAACAGAAATTCTAGACTAAATATTCTGAGAGGTATTTAAAATGTGCTGTTTGGGCAGCCAACATGCTCACTGGGATACTCACAGAAAGTAAACACAGGCTTTTATTATTGTTATTAATAATAATATTAATATTATATGAACATTCAAGTAACTTTCTCACAGCCTTTGCCCAACTTTAAACCACACTGTTGCAGCTGCTTGCACACATGTGATCCCCTTGAAGCCATCAGAGCTGTAGAAGGAGAGCCCCAAGCCTTTATTTTTGCTGCACTGAGGCTCCGTCACATTCTTGATGTGATGTCTCCTCTCTGCAGCTCATAATTTCCCATCTTGGTTTGAGACTGTGATCTTGTACCCCTAAAGTCAGTGGGAGCTTTGCTTTGCAATTCAATTTAATGACAGTAGCAAGACTGTATCCTTCATTCAGTAACTCCTACTGCTGGGAATTTTTCTCTGGCATTATACAGCAATCTAACACTTAAAAAATCTGGAATTGCCCTTTGTCAAAAGTTTTCAGATTGTGAGCCAAGTTTTCTGACCCAAGTAACATCAGAGAAGGTAGCTGGGGGACAAAAATCTTGCTGCACCCAGCTTTGTATTTTTGCACCCCTTCCATCTTTATATTGTTTTTCTTTATTGTAGGAGCATCTTTATGGAGAGGTCATTTTTAAGGCCAAAAGAAGAGATGGGCAAAGAAGTTGCCACTGAACAACCAGCTGATTTATAATAGCACTTGCTGGTATCATTGGAGACTGACTGCTGTCCTGTAACAGGATTACCAGTAGAATTTTGACCCTTGTCCAGTATCTTGGATTAGCTTCAGTCTCAGCTCTGTTTGCTGACAATTCTGCATCTCCTAAACATACTGCTTGTACTGCCATGTAGGCAAGTACATCTGGATTGCACAAAGGCCACAGCACCTTGTTGCTAGAGAGGCTTGGGGCCAAACTGAAAGCCCCATTGCATCTTACATTCCTAGTTTCCTTTGCAGAGGGGTTTTCTTTTGGATGAGGTACATTATTTTCCTCTCTGGGCAGAAAGCTACATACTTGTCTGTTGTTTTTCTGAAGCACTCATGTTCTTGGTACATTAACTATTCTTCCAGTGAAGATTCATGTTGATTTAAAACAAAATACGCAGTAGCTCCTTTAAGGTAATAGTGCATCTGCTGTTCATAGTTCACTACAGATGGATGTCAGCTACAAGAACCACAAAATTGAAAGGATGTCAGAGCTCTCTATTTGCAGTTGTCAGATTTTGGTTTTGTGTTTCCTTTTGATAATTTGTGATTTATGCTTGTTTGGTGTTGTGAGTATTAATATTGCACAAGCTCATTATAGTGCTGCTATAGCCATAGATGCTAAATGAATTGATACATCTTAGGTGGTTTGTGTTCACTGTGTCTGGCAAATTAAATTTCATGGGGAGATTGCCAGGCAATTTGGTGAAGTAAAACACACAGACAAGAGCTACATGATCTTCATGTCCTTCTCAGAGATCAGAAGTATGAAAGATACTGTGTTTCCCATCTTAGTTGTTCTGATTGTAGTTTTAGTGAATCTGACGGCAGAGTATTGTGCTCCTTCTCTGGGCATGTTGTACTGTCAGCCTTAGTTGAGTGTTCCAGCAGTGCAACTCTACTGGGGACAGCAGTTTGCAGGAAGAAAGCAGGGAGATTGTGAGCCTCCTCACATTTAGGCTTTCAAGTTAGGGAATTAAGGAAGAGCAAGAGTATTTACTTTCTAAGGAAAGCTCTGAAGTTTCTCTAGGGTGATCTCAGTCCTAAATCCTTGCAGCTTGTTGCCTGGGAGAGGCACCACTGGCTGAGGTTTGCATAAAACACTCCCTGCCTTCTCCCTCCCATGTGAAGAAAAAACCCTATTTGGATACAAATTAATAGCACAGAGCTGCAGCCTATGGAAAGAAGTCTGGAAAGAGGGAGGCCTTCCTGGGAGCTTCCAGCTCCCTGGGAAGCATCAAAACCTTCTTCCTCTAGGGATTACTGAGATTTATCAAAGTGCGAGGCTCAGACACAAATTCAGCCTTTCCATCACACCCACAGTGGCTTCATACTAGCATGTCTTTGGGACCTGTACTGCCAGGAGCAGAAGCCTGCACATGCTCTAGCCCGTAACAGTGCCCTCTGTTATGAAGTCCAGCCTGAGACTGATGCAGCTTTTAAATAGAAATTAGCATCCTAAGCTAAATTGAATTTTTTCATTGCATCTGAAACTCTTTAGTGACAATTTCAGCTCTTTGGGCTCTTTGGCTTTTTCCAGCTTTTATTTTTCATTGTCTAGAGATATTCTAGAAATATGGAGTTTTAGAAACTCTGTGCTTCTGAGAGATAAGCTGTATCCTCGGCAATGTTTCCATGAGCACAGGACCCCAGCTAGTGCTTCAAGTGTCCTACATTCACAGCCATTAGATGATTCATTCAGGTATTTGTAACAAGTACTGTTCTGTGTGCACAGAGATAATACTATAACAGAAAGCACTCTGTGTACCCCATGATGCTTTTTACTCTAAATCTTTGGCTAATTCGTGCTGAAAACTGTCTATACTGTTTTTTACGTGCTGATAACTGTCCCTGTAATTTTATTCCATACGCTATATATCATGGAAGGACCTGCCAACACTGCGATTAAATATCAAGCTATTTTTTTCAGAGATGTCTAATTCATATGTCCAGGGAGACTATTCGCCTTGGCTAAAACAGATTCTAGTACACCAGAAGCCAGTTGAGTAGTGTCTGCTGTGCTGTTGCAGCAGTCCTGGTGCGGCATTACGTCTGGTAGTGTTTCATGGCCGAACATCTGTATATGTTTGCATATAAAATCATTATACCAGAGTAAACCAGAAGCTATCTTTATGATTAATTTGTTCTGGTTTGTACATTTGAAAGGTGGCCCTTATCAAATCACAGGATTACAAAGGAGATGGTTGTTAGTGATTTTCAGATGTGTTTCACATCACTATGGCATCTTTCCTTCCAAAGCGTATCATGGACAAGAGAGACTGTT